CTCGTTGAGCGAGATCCATTATGCACGCCTTCATTTTACTTATTATTTCTTCTTGAATCGATTCCATCATCCGTCTCCTCTCCTCAGTCACTTTCTCAAGACGCGTAGCCTCTTCTTCTCGCCGTTTGATCTATAAAGAAATCATTAGCTACCGTTCTGACTTGTGATAATCTTTGGCGTGTAAAATGAGCCGAAACGTTGGTTTACCACTTCCTGGGCATGATCATTGGCACTATTTTTTATGGATGTTATCGAAGAGTTGATGCCGTCGATGTGAATCTCGGCTGTTTCGACAATAGCAGATATGTCCGTGTCGGTTTGTTTGTGGACTGCGCTTATCTATACGCGAAACATGAAAAGATGAGACAGTGCAAAAAATGAACGCCCCACACACCTCATCCCACACATACCCCCAAGACTCACGCCACCGCAACAAGCCCGATCGCGCTTACTTTGTCAAAATGTCGCTTTAATTCGTCTCGTAGGTTCTGTATCAAATTTTCTGAAGCGGAAAGCTGTTCCTGATACTTTGAAGAGATTGTCGTGCGAAATTCTATGAATTGCCGTGTAATCTCGGCAAAAGACTGTTTTGCCGAATCGCTCATTTCCACAGCACCTCCCAGCAGCGTTTGCGTGAGTTCGACAAACTTGTTCAGATTATCCTCAACGTACTTTTGACCGTCTGCAAGTTCCTACAAATGCGATTACGAGTCAACCAATAGCGCAGACTGACTCTACGACACGTCGGAATATGGCTAGAGATAAATAATATCTATACCTTGGCCTTGTCTTCCATGAACGTGTTCATTAGAACCTGAGCTGACTGGCTGAATGACGTCTGAACGGCCCTGAATTCTTCGGTTTTTGCCTCGAAATCCAGAGCCATTGATCGTTGAGACGTCTTGTATGCTTCAACCACGCGACGGTCCTTTTCCCGCATCTCTTCCTGAGTCCGAACCGTTATTTGCAATTCTTCGATACGATTTTTGAGACTTTGATTGTCATTTACCAGACTGAGGTAATTATCTTGAGACAAGAAAATGCCACTCTTATCCCACGCTGCCTGGAGTAGTGTGATGACCGTATAACAAAATTAGCTACGAGCACGAGAATAACACGTTTCCGTCATGGTCAAATGGAAGAGTTTACCTGCAAATTCGATTTTAGTCG